ATTTCCTTATGAGTAATAAGGATATTCATTCAGGTGATAAAAGCTGTACTGATATTGAAGCAGATGAACGTTGGGAATGACAAATTGCTATATATGAACATTCATATAAAGAATGAAGTTCTGCTATTGAAGAAAGACATCATTATGAGAATGAAGGGTTTGAATTCACAGAAGATGGGAAGTGATTGACAGTTATGGTAATATACAAATTGATGAATTAGATAATGCAGTAGTGTGTCCAGATCCAGGTGAGGCACCAATTTCTCCAAGAGAAAAACCTAACATCAGCACTGTTTTATTACATGCTTTGCCATGATATCGAAGCTCTAAAGTAAATTCATACATTTTAACAATTTTTATTTTAACTGCTATACATGCATATTAAACAATTACCAGATGTATGAATTATAGTTTATGCATGTACATATTAAACAGTTGAATGCATTAATTATTATTTTTAGATCACATTGTTTCACTTCGCTCTTGTAATTGTTTAAACAGAAGGTATATTAATTAATTTATAAACTATTAATTATTTTATACCTAGGTAACTTATCTATTCCAGAGCATACTTGATTCAACTCTTGGCTGTCTTGCAACATCAAAGCCACAAGATCGAAAGTGATATAAGAAAATTGGTAAAGGTTATTTTGTTGTTCGTTTTGACTGTGAACCACCACCAAGAGCCAAAGAATAGATGATTAGTAAACCAGCACAAGAAATTCTTAAAAAAGAATTTCTTGAAAAAAGTAAGGTCTTTCAACTTGGAACCCTTGTTATTTAAGAATGGTCATCCAATGTCTATAAAGTTATCAAGCCAATACATGCACCTTTACAGTCAGTAGTGCTTCCAGAAGGTATAGAAGATAAGAACCACAAAAACATCGACAGTAGTGGGAGGCTCAAAATTGGTCAGAAATAGAAATTCCACAATTAGATAGTGATACTAGCAATAAATCTGATTCCAATGGAGATGATATAGACCATTCAAGTAAACAACCTAATAACAAAACAAGTCATCATGTTAAAACAAAAAAGAAGTTTCAAAAGACAAAAACAATTGGTATATCAAGTGGCACTCAAAAAGATTTAACAGAAACAAGACGAAGAATTAGATTTAACGAAGTAAGAAGCAAAGGAAAAACAAAACATATTCCAAATTTATTTAAAAAAATATTTAAAAAAAAAGCAAACATGAGTACAAATTAGTATTATATTAGAATATTTTAGCTAATTTGAATATAGAAATTTTATAGTGCATTTAGCTAATTTGATATAAAAAATTTATTTGCATTTAGCTTAGAATCATTTGCGATTCAATTAATATAAAATAAATACTATATTTATTTGCATTTCAAAGAATATTTAATGTCGCAGCTGATGCTGAAAACAGCTGAAGCTGAAATTTGGGATCTTGATTTAAAAATACAAGCCCTGCTAAAATCCACATATACTTGTTAATTATCAATTCTAACCCTAAATACTAACTCAACTATAAAAAAAAAGCGGGAAAAAAACACCCCAAAAAATTTTAAAAAATTCATATCAAAATAGATCCGAATTTCAGCATCAGCCGTTTTCAGCATCATCTGCGACATTTAATACTGAATTTTATTAGTATTATTTATATTTTAATGAGCATTTAGCTAAACTGAATTAAAATTTTAACTAAATTTCAATAAACATTCGGCTAGTTTTAAAATAAAAATTTTAATATTTTAGTTAAAATTATTTATATTTCAAATTACATTTGGCTAACTTTCGATTCTATTTTATAAAGTATTCGGCTATAATAAAGTAGTTGCCGAATCCCTAATAATTTATATATTGCTGAATGCTATTGTTTGTCTTTGCTAAATGCTTGCAGAATGCCATCAAACACCAGTATATATTCGTCTAGCCAAATTGTTGTTGAAAAAGTTATTTATTATATATTCAGTAATTATTTAACAAAGCTGAAAGTAGTCTTATCTACCAATGAATTTAACCCATTTAACTAGTATAAATTTAAAATACAACAAGAAATAGCAAAGTTGTATCTAACTTGAAGAAGTAATATGAAATGTAATACTAGAAATATCAACATTAGTAAGCATCAAGAGGTTAAAATATCCTTAATTTGGAAGTAACTCTGTCACAAAAAACTTGGTTAGAAGTTTTGATACCCAAATCTATAATACACCAATTCGAAAAGTAATTGTTAGCAAGATTTGCATATATATAAGATGCAAACAATAAAAAAAGCTCATTTTTACATTTATCTTATTTTGAGATAATTGAGTTTAATCATTTGTTTTAATTTTTGAATAGATCTGAGATTAATCAAATTTCACAATTTTGATTGGCTAAAGATAGCAGATGACTATCGAATAATCTCATAATGTGTTAGCTCTACAAAGCCTTATATAATTTTTTTTTTATATATCATAATTTTTTATTATACAAATCAACTTTCATTTATAATTGAAAAATATTAATCATATCAAAATTTATATGAATTTAATAAAAACTCAATTTTCAAAAAAATGTAAAAATGAGCTGTTTCTATTGTTTGCACTCTATATAACCAACATTATACAAAACTATAATACCAACATTAGAAGTAACTGTGAAACTGTAATTGTCAGATACCTCTTAATAGGATCTGTAATAGATACTGCACTGAGTATCAAGCTGGAAGTATGGTGTTGTTAGTATAGGAAATATAAAAAATTTATAGGTAAAAAATTAATTGACAGAAGTAGTATATAAAAAATTTAAATTAGACATAAAGGCTCTGGTAGATTTAGATCACAGATAAAGTAGTATTTTTAGATTAGTCAATTAGTAAGTACATAAGTAAGTAACAAGGTTGTATAGTAGTATACAAATTTATAATTTAATAAAGATATATGAAGCATGACCTCATCTTAAAAAATAAAAAAAATTTCATAAAATTCAATATTTTCTAATATTATAGTAAGTATACTTAATGATAAAAAAAAAAGTAAATTAATATAGCTTGGTAAGCATCAATTTCATTATATTTATTTACATATAATTTTAATGCATTTTAATAATAAATAGCAATAATAATAATAATAATTATAAGCGATGAAGTTAAAAAATATTCCCACTATTCTTTAATTTTGTGAGTAATATATACTAATACAAAGACAAAATATTATTTATATGATCCTGTTAATACTTAAATTTCACCAAGCGATAGATAAAGATCTGTTAGAACTCATACTTGTTTATTAATATAAAGTAAATAGTAAATTGTAAGAATGTCTGAAATAAAATTAATTAAACAATACAGTTATATATCTATTGAAAGTATAAATAGAACTATATATATAGTTGTAAAATTTAAAAACAAATAAATATTTTGTGAACAGATTTATATTCTAATATTTAAAGTATATATTTAAATCAAAGTTCAATTAATTAATATATACAGTCAGCCCTCTCAGAACTGATCCTGTCAAAACCGATAACCTGCCAAAATCAGTTAAAAAGCAATCCACCAGACACCCGTTCCATAAGTAATAACTGATAACCTGCCATTTCCAATACTAAACCCGTCCACCATGCATACCGGTTCTGAGAGGGCTGACTGTATATATTAATTAATTGAACTTTGATTTAAATATATACTTTAAATATTAGAATATAAATCTGTTCACAAAATATTTATTTGTTTTTAAATTTTACAACTATATATATAGTTCTATTTATACTTTCAATAGATATATAACTGTATTGTTTAATTAATTTTATTTCAGACATTCTTACAATTTACTATTTACTTTATATTAATAAACAAGTATGAGTTCTAACAGATCTTTATCTATCGCTTGGTGAAATTTAAGTATTAACAGGATCATATAAATAATATTTTGTCTTTGTATTAGTATATATTACTCACAAAATTAAAGAATAGTGGGAATATTTTTTAACTTCATCGCTTATAATTATTATTATTATTATTGCTATTTATTATTAAAATGCATTAAAATTATATGTAAATAAATATAATGAAATTGATGCTTACCAAGCTATATTAATTTACTTTTTTTTTTATCATTAAGTATACTTACTATAATATTAGAAAATATTGAATTTTATGAAATTTTTTTTATTTTTTAAGATGAGGTCATGCTTCATATATCTTTATTAAATTATAAATTTGTATACTACTATACAACCTTGTTACTTACTTATGTACTTACTAATTGACTAATCTAAAAATACTACTTTATCTGTGATCTAAATCTACCAGAGCCTTTATGTCTAATTTAAATTTTTTATATACTACTTCTGTCAATTAATTTTTTACCTATAAATTTTTTATATTTCCTATACTAACAACACCATACTTCCAGCTTGATACTCAGTGCAGTATCTATTACAGATCCTATTAAGAGGTATCTGACAATTACAGTTTCACAGTTACTTCTAATGTTGGTATTATAGTTTTGTATAATGTTGGTTATATAGAGTGCAAACAATAGAAACAGCTCATTTTTACATTTTTTTGAAAATTGAGTTTTTATTAAATTCATATAAATTTTGATATGATTAATATTTTTCAATTATAAATGAAAGTTGATTTGTATAATAAAAAATTATGATATATAAAAAAAAAATTATATAAGGCTTTGTAGAGCTAACACATTATGAGATTATTCGATAGTCATCTGCTATCTTTAGCCAATCAAAATTGTGAAATTTGATTAATCTCAGATCTATTCAAAAATTAAAACAAATGATTAAACTCAATTATCTCAAAATAAGATAAATGTAAAAATGAGCTTTTTTTATTGTTTGCATCTTATATATATGCAAATCTTGCTAACAATTACTTTTCGAATTGGTGTATTATAGATTTGGGTATCAAAACTTCTAACCAAGTTTTTTGTGACAGAGTTACTTCCAAATTAAGGATATTTTAACCTCTTGATGCTTACTAATGTTGATATTTCTAGTATTACATTTCATATTACTTCTTCAAGTTAGATACAACTTTGCTATTTCTTGTTGTATTTTAAATTTATACTAGTTAAATGGGTTAAATTCATTGGTAGATAAGACTACTTTCAGCTTTGTTAAATAATTACTGAATATATAATAAATAACTTTTTCAACAACAATTTGGCTAGACGAATATATACTGGTGTTTGATGGCATTCTGCAAGCATTTAGCAAAGACAAACAATAGCATTCAGCAATATATAAATTATTAGGGATTCGGCAACTACTTTATTATAGCCGAATACTTTATAAAATAGAATCGAAAGTTAGCCAAATGTAATTTGAAATATAAATAATTTTAACTAAAATATTAAAATTTTTATTTTAAAACTAGCCGAATGTTTATTGAAATTTAGTTAAAATTTTAATTCAGTTTAGCTAAATGCTCATTAAAATATAAATAATACTAATAAAATTCAGTATTAAATGTCGCAGATGATGCTGAAAACGGCTGATGCTGAAATTCGGATCTATTTTGATATGAATTTTTTAAAATTTTTTGGGGTGTTTTTTTCCCGCTTTTTTTTTATAGTTGAGTTAGTATTTAGGGTTAGAATTGATAATTAACAAGTATATGTGGATTTTAGCAGGGCTTGTATTTTTAAATCAAGATCCCAAATTTCAGCTTCAGCTGTTTTCAGCATCAGCTGCGACATTAAATATTCTTTGAAATGCAAATAAATATAGTATTTATTTTATATTAATTGAATCGCAAATGATTCTAAGCTAAATGCAAATAAATTTTTTATATCAAATTAGCTAAATGCACTATAAAATTTCTATATTCAAATTAGCTAAAATATTCTAATATAATACTAATTTGTACTCATGTTTGCTTTTTTTTTAAATATTTTTTTAAATAAATTTGGAATATGTTTTGTTTTTCCTTTGCTTCTTACTTCGTTAAATCTAATTCTTCGTCTTGTTTCTGTTAAATCTTTTTGAGTGCCACTTGATATACCAATTGTTTTTGTCTTTTGAAACTTCTTTTTTGTTTTAACATGATGACTTGTTTTGTTATTAGGTTGTTTACTTGAATGGTCTATATCATCTCCATTGGAATCAGATTTATTGCTAGTATCACTATCTAATTGTGGAATTTCTATTTCTGACCAATTTTGAGCCTCCCACTACTGTCGATGTTTTTGTGGTTCTTATCTTCTATACCTTCTGGAAGCACTACTGACTGTAAAGGTGCATGTATTGGCTTGATAACTTTATAGACATTGGATGACCATTCTTAAATAACAAGGGTTCCAAGTTGAAAGACCTTACTTTTTTCAAGAAATTCTTTTTTAAGAATTTCTTGTGCTGGTTTACTAATCATCTATTCTTTGGCTCTTGGTGGTGGTTCACAGTCAAAACGAACAACAAAATAACCTTTACCAATTTTCTTATATCACTTTCGATCTTGTGGCTTTGATGTTGCAAGACAGCCAAGAGTTGAATCAAGTATGCTCTGGAATAGATAAGTTACCTAGGTATAAAATAATTAATAGTTTATAAATTAATTAATATACCTTCTGTTTAAACAATTACAAGAGCGAAGTGAAACAATGTGATCTAAAAATAATAATTAATGCATTCAACTGTTTAATATGTACATGCATAAACTATAATTCATACATCTGGTAATTGTTTAATATGCATGTATAGCAGTTAAAATAAAAATTGTTAAAATGTATGAATTTACTTTAGAGCTTCGATATCATGGCAAAGCATGTAATAAAACAGTGCTGATGTTAGGTTTTTCTCTTGGAGAAATTGGTGCCTCACCTGGATCTGGACACACTACTGCATTATCTAATTCATCAATTTGTATATTACCATAACTGTCAATCACTTCCCATCTTCTGTGAATTCAAACCCTTCATTCTCATAATGATGTCTTTCTTCAATAGCAGAACTTCATTCTTTATATGAATGTTCATATATAGCAATTTGTCATTCCCAACGTTCATCTGCTTCAATATCAGTACAGCTTTTATCACCTGAATGAATATCCTTATTACTCATAAGGAAAT